TGAAATGGCTCATTCCAGGACTGGGGTAGGAAAGATACGAGATAAGCCTGGAGTATCGTATACCGGAAAGCAAGGAAATCCTCAAAGAATAATGAGGTCATGTCAAAAGAATAGAGAAGCCAACTTTGAGGGGCTCCCAGTAGACAAATCATGGAAAATTTGAGCTCCAAAACAGGTAATGATAATAACAAATTATAACCCACTGAATAAAAAATGGAAACCATAAGTCCATACTAAGTAACTGAATAAATTGAAAGCTTGATAAGGAATGGAATATTTACATAGTTTCAAAGTATTTCACTACAGAATAGTTTTCTTTTTTTTTTTTTTCTTCGTGACCGGTAAGGGGATCGCAACCCTTGGTGTGGTGTCGCTCACACCGCGCTCAGCCAGTGAGCGGCTGGTCTGTATGTGGGATCCGAACCCTCAGTGGGAGCGTCGCCACACTCCCAAGCGGCGCACTGTAGCAGTACGCCACCGGGCCGGCCCTAGATTCGTATTATCTTCTCTTTTTTTTTTTTTTTTTTGTCTTTTTGTCTTTTTTTGTGACCAGCAACAGATCGCAACCCTCAGTGTTGCGCCCGTACCGGACCGGGACCGGCAACGGGATCGCAACCCTCGGTGTTGCGCCCGCCCCTCGCTCAGCCAGTGAGCGGCCGGTCTGTATGTGGGATCCGAACCCTCAGTGGGAGCGTCGCCACACTCCCAAGCGGCGCACTGTAGCAGTACGCCACCGGGCCGGCCCTAGATTCGTATTATCTTTTAATTCTATCTTTCCATGAACTTTCTGAAGGACCTTGTGTTAGTAGTTTATTACATATCTCCAGAATTTTTATACAGATACACATTCCCCACTGTTTCTTTATACTGCAGTTTATTTAACCCTCCTCTCTGTGATGGCAGAATTGTTCAACAGAACTGACATCTTTCTGATATTGGATCTTCCTGTCCAAGAGCATGGTACCTTTCTACATGTTTAAGTCTTCTTTTGTGTTCCTCAGTGATGTTACAAAGCTTTCTTCATATAAAGCTTGCCCATTTTTTGTAGGTGTATAAACATTCCCATGTGTTATCTTTTTTGCAGCTGTTGTGAATAATAGATTCCTTCCTTGGTCTGTTACATTATTAGACTCACAACCTGTGTGGGCTGGCCCTGAGACCCCTGTACACCACCAATAATTGTTTCTTCTGTTATAATCATAAACAATAGGGGTGGTAATTGTATGATTTCAAATTCACTGATACCTGCAGGGAGGTAACCAACAGACATCATGCTGGTGTCTCAAGTAAATTTATAACATGTATATGAAGCAGATGTTATTACCCTCACTTTACAGATGGAAAATCAGAAGTCCAACGTTGGGCCGGCCCGGTGGTGCACTGGAGAGTGCGCCACTTGGGAGCGTGGCGGCGCTCCCACCGAGGGTTCGGATCCCATGTGGAGACCAGTTCCCGCTCACTGGCTGAGCGCGGTGCGGGCGCAACACCGAGGGTTGCGATCCCGTTACTGGTCAGTAAAAAAGACAAAAAGGAAAAAAAAAAAAAAAAGAAGTCCAACATCACAGAGGCAGTAAATTTTTTGACTCCAAAGCCATTGTTGTTAGGTGAGTGGTTGTTAAGAATGAAATTTCATTCTCTGTCACTAATTAATAACACTTAAATGTATTTTATTAGGCAGGTCAAACTCATTACAGTTACTATTTCTTAGATGATTAAAGACAGTATGCACTTTTACTAAATGGTAATAAACAAGTTAAGTAAACATCTAAATGATCTCCAGATTCCGGGTCTTTTTTTTTTATACTTTTAGTATGGCTTTTCCCAAATTCTCTCCTTTCAGCATCCCCATAAATGCAGCTGGCATGTTTTCAAATCCTTCAGTGATGTGTTCATGGTACTGGATTTTACGCTGTATCAAAACAACAACAAATTTAATAAGTTAATTTCATATTCCAAATTATATACTCTTCTCATCCTAGCAACAAATTTATCAGGTACATCATGGGAACCTTGAACATATGAGATGGAGGCTCTGTCTGCCATAAGCTTGAAGTCAATTTGGGGGCAATATCCACATACACAGTGTATGTAACAGATTGCAAAGTACACGTAAGAAGAATTTAATGACGATCACAGTGAGAAATGTCACAATGACTAAGTAGATTGTCTAGAAAAGTTTAATAATATAATGACCTCAGAAGAGGAGGAAGTAGATGAAAAAGAAGCACCCTTCACACCACAGCAGTTAATAACTGTTTCCCCCTCAAGCCAAGATTCTTTCCATACGTATCTAACGTTTATTTAGGAATGTGGGAGGGAAGCGTTCGTGTTAGTGAGGAAGGTTTTTCATACTACAAGGCACAGACTACTAAGCAGGACTGATTAACATCTTTAAGTTTTTTTAAGAGGTCTCATGTAGAGACCTGAGTTATCTTGACACCATTTTTTCCCTAATGTATTCCAGTGGTGGTTTAACACCCATTATGGATTTATGAATGAAATTATTTGCTTGAAATCACTCAGTTAGAAAGTAGGGAAGATGGAATTTGAACCCATGACTTGAAAGTTCCAGCTCATTCCTGCTCTTGAAGAGGCAAAGAATCTTGATAGGGTGGAAAGCTAGAATCCAGTTCAAAGGTTAAAAATAGACAGTGAGTATTGTTCTGGGCTGAATTGCGTCTCCCCCCCAAATTCACCTGTTGAAGTCCTAACCCCCACAACCTCAGAATGTGACTGTACTTGGAGACAGGGCATTTAAGGAGGTAATTAAGGTAAAATGAGGTCATGTGGGTGGGTCCTAATCCAGTATGACTGTTGTGCTTATAAGAGAATAGGATACAGACACACACAGAGGGCAGACCATGTGAAGACGCAGGGAGAGGCCTCACAAGAAACAACCCTGCTGACACCTGACCTCATACTTCCAGCCTCTGGAATGGTGAGAAAATTCATTTCTGTTGTTTAAGCCATCCAGTCTAACATACTTTGTTACAGCAGCCCTAGCAAACTAACACAAATACTAATATAAAATGTTAATGATAGGGGAAATTAGATACAGGGTATCTGATAAGATACAGGGTAGTTGGGAGCTCTCTGTACTGTCTTCTCAATTTGTCTGTAAAGCTAAAACTTCTAAAATAAAAAGTATATTTTAAAAAAAATAGGGGATGAGGGAAAAAAAAAGGAGGCTGAGAAATAAATTACTCCAACTCACTAGTTACGTAAAACAAAACTATAATCAGCTTCATCTTGTTAGAGGGAAGCAATAGGAACACCAGCATAGTGGTTTCTTGTTGTCACCTGTGATCTTGGAGGGACTGGATTTGATTTCACCAACAAGGACAAAGAGGCTCTACACTGGGAACTGAAAAGTAATTCAGCTCTTTCCAGCTCTCTGGAAAGAGCCCAGCCCAGCACTCCAAGCTTTAGACTAGGAAAAGCGCCAAGCTCCAGTGGCTGCTGAAGGGGAAATTTATTTCTTTGAATTGGGAAATGATCATAGGCCAGGAATCGCTTTTACCCCCAAACCTGAAATAATGCACCTTGGTTATTCCGATTTCTGTTGACTAAAACTGCTCATGGTGTAAGGTGGGAAAGTGATCACAGTACAGGAACAAGGGATTGGCTTCGTTCTTCAGATATAAAGACATGGCTGTAAGAAGGCTCTTTCTGATCTGGGATCTGGAAGAGCCATGGCACATACATGCACCCCTCTAACATTCATTCATTCAACAATATTTGTCTAGTGACTACATTGATTCAGACACTGTTCTGGGGTCTGGGGATATACCAGAAAACATTGCATGAACATTGCATGAACACTGTGGTCCTCATGGAGGTTGTATTCTCATGGGAGGGAGATGGGCAATAAATATAAATGAATAGGTGAATTACATATTATGTTAAAAAATTATTAGTTGCTATGGATAAAAATAGGATAAAGAGGATCAGGAATGAAAAGGGAGTGCAACTTAAAATAGGGTTATTTTAAAAGTTGCCTCGTTCAACAAAGATTTGAAGGAGGGGAGAGAATTAAGGAAGCAGTTACCAAGGGGTGGAGGGGTGGAGGAAGGGACTGGGTTGAGTAAGCAAAGGGAGTGAATACTAAGAAGTGAAATTAGAGAGGTGTCAGGGGCCAGACTGTGTGCAGCCTGGAGGTTATTATAAGAACTTTGGATTTACTCTAAGTGAAATGGGGAGCTTTGCAGGGTTTTGAGCATAAGGGTGCCATGGTTTGATTTATGCTTTAAAAGATCACTCTGGCTGCTATGCTGGGACTTGTCTGTAGGGATACAAGGATAGGAGACCAGGCAGAGGCTACTACAAACATCCAGGCTAAACAGGATGGTGGCCTGGACCAGGGTGGAAGCAGAGAAGGTGGAAGTGGTGAGATTCTGTATATATTTTGAAGGTATATATTTTGTATTTCTGTATATATTTTGAGCCATCAGAATCTCTTGACAGATTAGACATGGGTATGAGAGAGAGAAAGAAACCAAGGATGATTCCAAGGTGTTTGACTGAGCAACTAGACGGGTAGAATAACTGAGATAATGAAGTCTGAATATGGAGCAAGTTTGGCAGGAAAGATCAAAATATATTTAATTTTCAACATTTTAAGTCAGAAATGTGTATTAGGCATCCGGGTGGAGCTGTTGAGCGGCAGGATATGCCAGAGTAGGGCCAGGCTGGAGACAGAAATTTGGGAACTGTCAGCATACTGATCATATTTAAAGCCATGAGCCTGGATAAAAAAGATTAAAAGGATAGAGTGTGGATAGAGAAGACCAGGCCCTGGGGCACTCCATTACTAATTTGGAAAGAAGAAAAGAGCTAGCAGAAGAGTCTGCAGAGGACCAATCAGTGAGAAAAACCAAGAGCTACGGGAATCCCAGGGAAGCAAGCACAGCAGGAGAGAGTGATCACTCTGTCAAATATTCCCCACAGCCAAGTGATCAGACTTGACCCTTGGATTTCACAGTATGAAGGACATCTATGACCTTGACAAAAGCAATTTGGTGCCAGGGTAGCAGTGCAAAAGCCTGATACATAGGTTAAGGAAGAATGGAGAGAGAAGAACTGCAGGCAGTGAGAAATACCTAGACAACACTTCCAGGTATTTTGATATTGTTATGAAGAGGGGAGCAGTGAAATGGACCTGTATTTGCAGCAGAATGAGGTCTAGAGAGGGTTGTTTTGTTTTGTTTTCCTTTTTTAAGATGGGAAAAGTAAGAATGTTTGTATTTGTTGTAGTCTCAAGGCAGTGATCCAATAGACAGGGAGAAGCTGATGATGTAGCTGAGAGGGAAGAATTGGTAGAATGATAGTCTTGCGTGACAAAAGAGAACGAGATCCAGTGACAATCAGAGGGGATGGCTCTGGAGCCCCTTACCTCCAAGACCCATTGCAGCAAGTCCTTTAGAGCCTTCTGGCGGGCATCTGCTTGCCAGTTGCTATACAGGAACCCTTCTAGGCGAAGTGCCTGATAGATAATATGCTCTGGGGATGGACCTGCAAAGAGGAGGGCACAATTGAGCAACAGGGTCTAGGTAGGTGGCCGTAGTGAACACACAAGGGGTAAAAGTCCCTGTCACTGTTCTCCTAGGGCTTCCCCCATCCATTTCCTCCACTCCTTTCTGATCCGTGGGGCTGCCAACTGATCAGCATGCATTCTGTGGTAGGC